GTGTATGTGTGTCTGTGTGAGAAAGAGAGAGCTAGGAGAGAGAGATTGTGTGTGTGTATGTGTGTCTGTGTGTGTGTGTGTGTGTGTGTGAGAGAGAGAGAGAGAGAGAGAGAGAGAGAGAGAGAGAGAGGGGGGGGTATGTGTATTTGTGAGTGTATGTGTGCGCGCATAAAGACAATCTCGGTTCAATATTGCTAAGAAAACAGACGTGCAGTTTGTCATCGTTTCTGCCAAATACTTTTCGTGACGAGCGTTGACACAAACAATTAATTAGTTTTTCCAACCGGTTGGGGTTGAAAGGGTATTTGTATTCAGTATCAAAGAGCGAAGACAAGAGTATACACTTTATTTGAAAGCTGTGCACATCTCTATTTCTCAGATGCCATATGCGCATCGCCTCTTGCAACCAAGGTGTAGCTGTGCGGAAGATGTACCGAGGTCCTTGCAGTCCTGAAGACGAGGAGAAGGAAGCTGCCAAATACAACAGGCGGCTGAAAAAGATGAAGAGAAGGAGACGACAGAGAAAGAGGAAGGCAAACGAATCCGCAGGGGAAAAGGGAAAAAAGAGAAGGAAGCACAGGAGGAGGAGGAGGAGAAAGAGTGGAAGCCGGAACGGTAAAGGGAAAAGCAGGAGGAGAAGGCACAGGGGAAGTCACTCTAACGCCGCCAGTCGGACCTTTGAGGAAGCGTTCGCTCAGTATACCTGGAAAGCTTAGGGCATACATGGGCACTACGGTTGCTAAGCTACACTGGTTCTGAACGATGTAGTATACAGGTTGTCTCGAAAGTTAGGCATAATCAGGTATAGTTTACGTTCGGGATAAGTAATATCTAACTTAAAGCACGTTTATCATATTACAAACCCAAGAGTCTGTGTTCAAGTTCAGGGTTGCAATACTGAAATAGCGTTTATGACGGGAGGTGAAACCACTATGCAGTCAAAATCAGAAGAAAGTTTTTTTTTAAAGGCTATGCGCATTATTCTTTGTAGTTTTGAACACCCTGAAACAAAACGCAAAGTTGGAACATTGACAGAAACAAGCAGCAGGGCTGAGTTTGGAGTACAAATTTCAAGTATATCTGAGTTTCAGCTTTGCTGGTACTGATTCTGTAGAGCTTTTGAGACACCCTGTAAACGAATCGTAAGAATGAAAGAGCACTGGTGCATGTGGAATTCTTGGAATATGCTCTATTCTACATGCATGTGGATGGAGAGCAATGGGGAAAATCACGGCTAAGGAAATGGTAAAATAATTTACGAAATCTCTGGGAGATATTGACGTGTTTTTTGGTAACTTTCTTCTTATGGTAACGTCGTTACCCAGGGCGATGCTTACCGTTAGACTTTTCTTTATAAAATGAATGTTGTTCTTGTCTCTGTCAATCCACGAATACGACTGAAAAAATACAATATCGTCCTTCAAAATAAATAATATTATAACGACATAAACTATTAGATGCATGTTACTGTATGAACTTTTCATAAATCTTAAGACTGCTGCTTATATATGCTGTCCTTCTCTTATCGTTGCTCCAACTTGTTCCTTTGTATTTCATTGATTTTATTCCACTTCAGAGAAATATCGCTTTCGAGATATTTTTTTATATTAAGAAAAGCATAACAAAACAAACAAAACAAACAAACTAATCAAGCAGTGAACACCTTTTAGTTCAGTAATTCACTCTTCATTTGAAAGGACGAATTTCATATTACCATGGACACAAAAGGATCCCTGATGGTCAAAGAAGGTAAAAATAATTAAACAAAATTAAAGTAAAAAGAGGTATAATTGGATAGTTATGAATGGTTTAAAACAACAAAATATTCATAAATCATAACATGCCAACAATCATTATAATTGATCACTCTTTTCTTCTTTGGAATCCAAAGCTTGTCTATCTCTTCAGCCTTTAAGTACAATTCTCTTTCTCCTATTATTTCCAGATTCTAAATGTACCTATATTAAGTTTTCCACGTAAATCTGTTACCAAAGTGAGACGATTCTACCACCTCGTTTGTATCTTAAAGAACAAATCATCATGTATTTAAAACTAGATCCCCCTTTTATGATATATTCATAGATTGTATACATTTTCTTATTGTGTGGCTGGATCGTATCGAGGTCGAGAAAGGGCTCCATCACAAAAGCCAACAATAGAAACAAAACCGATTACATTTATTTTTCTAATATCAGTAATAATAGCCTTCACATCAACCATTTTATTTTTTTCTAACTGTCAAAAGTATTTATATCTAAAAGCAAAAAGGAGATACAATTTTCTTTTGGTCAACAAAACAACGAACAGCCGTTTCAATACTTTCTTCAAAAACAAAAACAAGGAAACAATGAGCAACAAATAATAGACTTTTGAACACTCAGTATTGAGTCTTCCTAATTCCTTTTCAGTTAACAAGAAATAAATATGTTTCCTATAATGACACCTTACTAATTGAGCGTTCCATTCCCCCCTTGAAACGTTAGCGACTTTCTAAGGAAAGCATGAATAAATTGCAGGCTTTGCACCTTTGTGACGGGGCCACGAATATTATGTGCATGAAAGACATTGTCAAATTGTTATGAAAATAAGATCTTGAAATAACAACTTGAAATAACGGAGTTGTAAAATGCCAAGGGACATAGAAACACGTTTCTAATGGCTCTCTCGTCCCCTGAAGTATCCTCATGTCTCGATTGCCCCAAAGTGCTTACCTGAAGCAGACAACCCCAACATTTCTTCTCATGTTTCATTTTATCATCATAATGTAATAGCATTGTTGTTGCTGTTGTTGTTGTTGTTATTGTTGTTGTTATTGTTGTTGTTGCTATTGTTGTTGTTGTGTTGTTGTTCTTGTTGGTAATAATATTATTATTTCTTACGTTGCTTTACATGAACTATTGGATTTAAGTAAAGTTGTAAAGTTATTTTTAAAAATCTCAAGGCATAAACAAAACAGTCCATCAAAGACAGCATAGTACATATTTGTGTAGTTGCTGTATGATGTTGTGTTCGGCTGTTCCAACTGCCTATGTACGTTTCTAAAAGCGTAGACTTGTTTCAGCATAATGTTTTGTTTGATACTTTTTATGTCAGGTGGAAACGGTATCCTCACTTGTTAGAAATCCTCATGTCTGTTTTTGCTTTATTTCGCTGTTTTGTTTTGTTTTTGGCCCCAACACACCATATTCACTACTTAATACATGATGCATTTGTCGTCTCTAAGTTCTCTTTTTTATTTTACTTAAAAAACAAACAAAACAACAAAATCACCCCCCCCCAACTCTTTATACGTTGAACAAGATATTCTTTTAGTACCATGATTAGTACTTTTGCTTTACATATTATATTGACACCTACTGGTATCAGTCTCGTTGGAATGATCTTTGAGGTTACAGAACTATTTCTGAAAAATGAAGACAGCTTATACTTTTACATAATTTACATTACATTACTCCAGTACCGTATCTCACATTAGTCTACACGCATTTGTTAATTTGCATAACGTATTCTTCTTCGTCCAGGAGTTCTGTGTGTCATAATAATTATAATTTGAATGTCGCTTCGACGAGTTACAATGTGCTACCAAATATGTCCAACAAAATAATATGTCGTCATTCAAATAATCTCTTACGTACTTGAGATGATGGAACGGTTGAGAAGGGCTGCAGTGATATACTTGCAAAGTTTTCGTTTGAAGTACGAAATAGTTTTGATGAAGATTGCACAGCTCTTTAACTGTTCTTCATTATTAAAAAAAAATTCTTCGCTCACCTGTATGCTTTTCAATTTCCTCCCCGTTATTTGTACCTTTCTCGTTGTCGTAATCCTGCTCCTCCTCCTCTTCGTCTTTCTCCTGCTCGTCCTCCTTCTCCTCCTCGCCCCCCCCCCCAACTCCACCAC